CTGAATACTTTCCGTACCCACTGTATATAATGCCAAATATATCAAAAATATTTATAATTGATGGAAATAGCCAGCCATGAATAGTTCCCTCAGTGTAAATGTCATGTCAAATGACCGTGCAGGTAGGAGGCGGAACCAGCTGGCACATAGTACATACTGTATTTAATACTATCAGGTGGTATGGAATAGGATGTTTGTTTGTTTTGTTACAATCTTAAAGCTACTTGAGTTGGGAAAGTGTTTGTTCACATTGCACTCCATTCTCCTTTGCACTATGCCATATAACAACCAGCCAGCAAATCAGATGGACTCATGGTTTTTGTTCAACTCTTTCCGTCTTGGCAGATGGGAGGGGAAGAGAAGAACAGAGGGATAGAGGAGAGAGGGGAGAGAGAGATGTGAAGGGACAGAGGGAGAGATGAAGAAGGAAGGAAAAAGCTGGAAAGCCACCTGTCAGAAAGGGGGCCCCCAATGATACTCGCAGTACTTCCTCCCCATTTCCTCCCCTCTTTCCCCTCCCTCCCCCCTGTCTCACCTGCGCCTCGTTCTCTTTCAGCAGCCGGCGCGTGCGTGCCCCCCCAGGGTCATCGGTCACGTTGAGGATCACCACACTCTTCTTCTCCCAGCCGATGAACGAACCGTCCGTCAGGCCTTCTACTACAGACAGGAAATCCTGGTAGCCGTGGTGACGTGTGGACACCACAGAAAAGGCGGTCCAATCATATTCCTCCAGAACCTCAAAGATGACCTCTAACTGGAGGGCAGTGGAGGAGCTGAACTGGAGAAAGATGGAACCTGATTCCTGATTTGGGGGGGAGAACAAAAGATTTGGTTAAAAATCTCAGTGGGAAATTCATCCTCTATAGCCGTACTGTGTCTAACCTGCAGCTATAATACCGTGAGGTGGTAAGAGACAGCATTTTTGCTACAAGGAACTACAGACTCTCTAGACTGCTCCATCTTTATGCATAACATCGAGGCATCACGGGGCTTGACGTTTTTATGGAGCAGTAGCACTCGTGCAGCCCCAGGGCTAAAACAGTTTGGATTGTTGCACAAATTCTCCTATGACGTCCAGAAGAGAGTGTTTCAAAAAAGTTTGTTCAGGGGTTGGGAAGGATGACGACTAGGCAAAGGTGCATCTTCAAAGGAAGTTCGTCAAAGTGCTACAGTTCCAATTCCTCAAGAGTAAATGGTTAAAATAGTTATTTGTTAGCACAAATCCAATGCTTTTTTGTTTCACCATTTGGTGCTGAAAAGCATGTGGCACTAGCTTTCTTTCATGTATACACCCACACATAAATGTAAAGGCTACACATACATATCCCCACACCCATGTCTGTGCATTGCCTCCCTCCCAGGAACATCAGAGGCAGAGCGACAGCCTCAGTTGGTGCCATTTACAGATCAAACACTTCAGAGTTTCAGCAGATCAGCAACCCTGACCTTCTACTTTTCTTCCGTCCCACCGGCACTTCCCCAAACCTTTTCTTCACAGAGAGGATGTGTGACATTCTGACAAGTTGTTGGCAATATAAGCAGATCTCCCTTTATACTCCATTCGTAGTTCTGTCAATCCATACTGCTTCAGTATACAGCACAGACCTAATTAACATTGTCCAACTCACCAGACATCTACCCTCTCTCCACTCTCTCTCTCTCTCTTACATGCACACTCCCCCCGACACAAGCTCATGCACCTCGTCTTCACTCTCCCACCCCAACCCAATCTCCCTCCTCCTACCTGTGGCATCCTCCCCAGCCCTGCTCCCCCTCCTACAGCCACTATTGGCAGTCCCGTTTGCGCAGAGACAAACTCCAGCATGGGGGCTAAAGGACCCCAGGCTGTGCGAGGTGGCCTCTCCTCTTCATAAACCAGACCCTGCAGGGGCCGCGCCGCCAGCAGCTCACACAGCTGGGACAGCGCCGTCTTAGGACTACTGTCATTCACCTGGGACATTATTGAGGAATGAAGAAAGAGAGAGAAATAAACAGAAAGAGATCAAAACAGAGATACATAAAGTTGGCCATCTAGGTCAATGTGTTTTGACTTTATGTTATCCATATGGTAGGTGATGTCTGGCTAAGCATACAAACTGTGGTCAAACAACAGAGCCAGACACCTGCTTACTGAGCAGGGCCCACACAATAGCAGCAGCATGCTGTTCATTCAGCTCAAATAATGAGTATGAATAATGAATGGTCGTTGCTACTCCCTTTCTTCAAGGAAGGCTGAATGGGCAGTAGGTAGAGGAGGCAGTGTCCAACCTGTAGCCAGATGACGTTAGCAGAGCCCCACTGGGTGACCACACTCTCCCCCAGGGAGCCATATACCCGGCCAAAACCGGGGTAGAGCACCCTTCCCCCAGGCCCCGCCACTGCTGCCTCTGCTTGCACTGTAGCACCGGCATGGATCACAGCAATGTTGAAGTTCATCATGGCCCCTGCATCGCGTTCCCGCGGGCTGGGCCTGAGCAGGAGGTGGGGGGAGGTGTCCACCAGACCTGCCCACTCTGCCAGGACCAATAGGAGAGTAGGTATGGCGACCATGGCAACCTGCCGAGGGGGGGAGGCAGATATATATCACACTAAGAGAGGGTGCCTGAAAGAAAGAGAGAGCAAGGGGAAGAAGAAGGTGAAGAAAAAGCAAGAGAAGACATTAAGTCAGACTTTTTTCTATAACATACAGCATAGAGGGCATCAAAACAAATCAAATGAAATGAGAAAAAGAAGGAGAACAGAAGAAGGACGTAGCAAGAAAGACAAACAGAGGTGTAGACAAAGAGAATGTGAATGGGAAAGAAAGAGAGAAACAGATCAGAGATGGAAAAGAGGCAGGACACTGTAATGAATTCTGAATCCAATCACGGGGTAATAAAAGTTAGCTTTGGTTGGAGAAAATACTGGATGAGGAAATTGGAATGCTGAGAGGAAAAGACAGTAGAGGGAAAGAAAAGAACGCAAAGTCAGAGAGAAGATGAAATGGGTGCTATTTAGGCTGCAGGCTGAGAAGGAGCAATATGAGGAAAAATTTAAACTGGCCGTTGGAGGGAAGAAGGGCAAGAGAGAGTAAGAGTTAATAGCAGACAGAGACAAAGATGGGGGCAGAGGTGGTTATTGTGCTGCATGAATGATAACAACAATTAAGATCACTGTAAACACACTCACCCTCTCGCAACGGCATCCACATACAAACACAAACACAAGTGTTTGAACACACACACAAGATAAATGCACAGATACACTCTGCCTGTAGAGCAGCTTAATGATAGAGAGATAGGAGGGTTAATGCAGTACACTCAAACATATACACACTCACTCACACAAACCACCACACAGAAAGATAATGACTACCTGGGAGATGGCAGGGTTAATATGTGAGCTGCACACTTGCACACACACACAAAAACACAGCACATCATTTTCAATTTACTTCTGGTGCCAACTGCCCTCCCTCCCTCTTTTTTCTCCATTTCCTTCTCACTTTCTCCTCATTCTCTCTTGTGTTCTGTCTTTTTATATTCCCCATCTCTTCTTCCTATTTTCATTGCTTCAGCTACTAAACACCATTGCATTGATTAACAGGAGCCTGTTGACATAATATTCCCTCTAAAGCCCCACTCCCTTTCTGCCCCTCCATTTCCCCTTTCCTCCTCTCTATGTTTTTTGCTCCATCTTCATCCGACTCTCCTCTTTTTGTCACAGTCTGCTGATTCCTTGACCCTGATCAGTCGTTTGGATGGAAAAGAAAGCAACAAAGAAAAGAAGAGTGGAGAAGAAAAAGTGACTCAAGGAATGAGAAAGGACAAGAGACAGCTGTGAAATGGATGGAATAGAGGGGTACTGTAAATACAGGGCATGTAAGATGGACTGACTGAGTAGAGGGCAGGAGGTCGGGTGGAGGAGCAGTAAACAAGGGGAAAAGGAGAGGACAAAGTGGGGTGGGATGGTGAGAGGTGGAGTAATATGTGAGGAGAATAGTAGGAAAAGAAATATTGATTACTGGCGCGTGTGTACGTGTTTGGCTTAAACAAATACACTGACAAACCTCCCGTTTTGAGTGGCAGAGCTGTGGGTATGTATTTGCATGCATGTTTGTGTGGTGGTGAGCCACAGAGAAGAGAGAGGAAGACTAAGAACGGTGAAGTGAAATGGAATGAGAGGGTGAAGGAGAGAGGTGGATAGATACTGGTAAGGTGACAGACCAGTTAGTATGAGAGAGAAAAAAGGCAATAATGATGAGAAGAGGGAGGAAAAAGGGAACTGTGGCGTGGAAGATGTTGCAGGAAAGAATGGGAAAGACACATGGGGAGAGAGAATATGAGAGCCAAGCTGCAGGAACATCATTTGGTAGAGATGTTTTCTACGGTGCTGAGCTGTGACACACTAACTGTTAGGCCTGTCGCCGTATTTCACTCTCATGAGGTGTTTACGTTGCACTACTCAGGCTGCGTGTGCCACTCCAGCCTTGTTGGAGGTGTGAACACACTCTTTTACTACATACAGTATCCACTTTGCCAGTAGAGGATACTGTACAGTACAGAGCGCCTGTAAATATTCAACGTGCAACATCTTCATCTCACTGAGGCACGTTACAATAAAGTACAAGTAATTTATAATCAAAATCCTCATCTCAGTACATCTTATTATATAGTTCATAATGTGCTCCATTCTCTGAAATTCTGCAAACTGAATCATGAAAAGCGGGCAGTGAGGGGTTTGCAGCGAACACACACACTGACACTGGGAAGGAGAGTGGGAGAGAAAGAGATTACTGTTTCATTTGATTTGCTACCATAAATGAATCTTTTGTTAAAATGCAAATGTTTGCATTTTAGTATATTTTTCCCCTTCTAGCTTTAAAAACAATCATGTCCAGTGTTTGGAGCCACTTCTACACTATGTACTGTATATTTATTTACCAAGGCACTGCCTACAACCCAGGAAATCAGAACGTGATTGGATTTCTGTTTTTCATGAAAAGGATTTGAGGATTTTCAGTTAGTTGAAACACTTCCAGCATCCATCCAATGTGATACTTTAACAATGTGTTCATTCTGATTATTTGTTACGTTTCAGATTTTTTATCATCAGTCTTATAAATATTATAATATATTCTTTCCTTCCTTCTTGAAACCCCGAATTTGAAAACCTTTCAAATCTTGTCAGAGCACTTTCTTTGATGATATTTTTAGACTTTGAAACTTCTAATCATGGTGCATGCACCTTCAACCATCACTTGCTGTCTAACTCATTATATCTCACTTACAGTACACTAATGTATTTGTATTGCACACTGTTGATTGTTCATTTTGTCAATCAAGGTAATAAGCAGTGTACTGTGTCTATAGTATAATTATTTTTCCACTGAGCCCGTTTAGATGGTGTTTTTAAATAAAAAAAAAAACAGCAGTTAGAGCTCCACAGAAACCAGCGTGCATGCCAGCGACAGTCAGAAGCGAAAAACACCTTGAGGAATATTTATCATGCACTTAAGAGCAGTAATATTCTCAGAGTGACAGAGACAACTAATCAAGAAGATAAGAGAAAACATTTACACAGGCAAGTCAGTCTCCTCTTTCTCTTCCAAAATTCCCAGCCAGTGCATCGTAATCAAAACATATCTTATCATATCTCTGCTTAAACATTTAACAAATTATCACCTACAGGAGTGAATGGCTGGTGCACAAACTTTTGCACTGGTTTGAAAAATGTCAAAACAGGTTTACAGTTATGTGCAGCTAAAGTCAAACTTTAAAAGTATATTCTTCTATAAAGAGAAGCAGTAACGCCTGTATTAGTCCTGCAACTACCAAAGACAGAGACAAGTACCTAGTTGGCCTCTAAACAAAAGATGAAAAATGTATTCTTGCTGTCAGTGTGGTTAGGGAAACTGTTACAGTGTTTTAGAGTATCAGATGCCTCTGTCCCCTTCAGCAGAAAGCACCTCCACTGACTCTGGAAAGAGTATTACAAGAGAGGAGAAGACCTGGTAAGAGTTGTTAGCATCCACACCTCTCTGAGCCTTTTTCCCACTGAATTCCAAAGGAGGCAACGTGCCAGACCTTGTGCTGTATCTGATCTGTTGGGGAAATGTGAATGGAGAAAGGAGTCTGTGGAGCCTGGAGTGTAGTGCTGTGGAAGTGCAGTGTTCAGCTTTGTGTCTAGCCCATATTGGGGCTCTGCTGCTTCATTCCATGATGTCATGCAGAGTAATAGACCTGCTCCTTGGTGCCTATGGCACGGGCTGCACTGAATCAACCCAGACAGTTTTCCACAACAAACATCTAAAATATATGCTGTTTAATATACAGTCTACTGTATGCTATTAGAAACTGCAGCATTTCTGAGTCTGTGTAAGTAAAAGAAACCCTCCCCTAAAGATGTGGACTTCATTTTTTCCCTCCTCTTTTTTATTTGTCCACATTTAAGACTGCAGTGCGCTTGAGAAAACTGCTGTATGTGCCTCTAATTTCCTTGTACTATAGTATAGACTAAGACTGTAGCAGACCAGCACACTGCGGTGCCCACGGCATGCATACATGTGAGGATATCAACGTGTGTGTTGTTCAGGGTAGTATGGCAGTGTGGGGGAGCGGAGGAATGAAGAGAAGAGTGCAGCTGGAGCTCAGTGCTCCTTGTGTTAATTGGCCCATACTTCAATCACAGCCACTGGAGTGTGTCCTTTCTGACGGAACAGATCCTCTCTCCCTCTCTTTCCTAACCTCACTTTCTCTCTCTCTCTCTCTGTTCTGCTGCACTTGTTCACCCACTCATCCACTTACTGACACACTCTTACTTGACACACACATGGACATGAGCACCCTTGCAACCAGTCTGTCTCACTTAGTCACTTGGATTTGTGGGTTTCACTTGTTCATTCATCTTTTCGCTCATTCAGTCACCTCACTGTGCAGCATCTCACTGTCACAACTCTCCTTCCCTCTTTCTATTTCCCTCTCCTCTTTGTCTATTTTCTCCCAGCCCTCTGCCATTCTGTCCTTCCACATGTCTATGTCCTGTACTTCTTTCAGTCTCTACTTCCTGCCCTCCCTCACTTCCTCTCTCTCCCTGTCTCTCTTTGATCCCTGTTGAGTAGAAGAGCCACCAGGCATGCAAGCAGCACTTGTTCCCATTGTGCACGGTGTGCAGAGTGATGGGCAAATAGCACAGCGTACAGCAGCATACTGCGTGTTTTTACTGCATGACTGTAAACAGCAGTATTAAAGCCTGCTGCTGCTGCTGTCGCTACTGCTTTGGTGCTACCACTGCCTCCCTCTGACTTAATGGCCATGGCTATCATAAGCCATTCAAGTGACAAACGATGGGACCATTTATGAAATCTTTGTGACACCAGGTCCTCACGGGGAAACACAACCCACAATATCTGTAAATTACATGTGCCACAGGCTGATAATCTGGTTAGAGTGGGTCACTTTCATAAACATGATGCCATTTTTTATGTGGAGCAGTTACATTTGAGAGGCTACAGTAGCTGATATGGAATATCTTGCACACACGCGCACACAGACAGATAGAAGAAAATATTTTTTGTTCAACATGGATATTAAATTTACTGTTATGCGCATCGTTCTATTATTC